CACCTTATAATCCTCTAATGAGAAAAATTAAATTAAAAAACCATCATTCAATGATAGGAGGTATAGGATTTCCTTTAGGGGCCAAGTCTTCTTGACAGTAGTAAGAAGGGCTTCATAAAATGGATGCTTACCAATATAATAACAAATCAAGAATAAGTCTCACTCTTTGGGATCTCCCTATAAATAAATATATGACTTTGCCTTAAGGGAAAACATAGCTAAAAGGAAAGTCTTTTGTTGTAGGTTTTTTTTTTTTAATCTTGTTGCCAAAAGCAAGCTTTTCATGTTTGGTGAGATTGCAAATTTCGGGTTTTTGGAGGACAAAGATAAAGCTGTTGATGCCACAGGGTGGGGGAAGAGAGAGCAGTCTTAGTGAGTAAAAGAGCCTTGTAGAAGCATCTAATGGAGAGGCAAAAGGAGATGTTTGTTGAATAAGCTTTCAAAAGTAGGGGAGGAAGAGTGGGAAAATTTTCATTTGAGGTGGAGGGTAAAGGACAAATAAAGGTTTCCCTAGAATGATGACCCTAAATTCCTTCATTATGCCAAAAATAACTAATTAGAAGCATGGCTTTTAGTAGTTTTATATTTTCATTGATATAAAAGTTTATGGGTAGTGATAAATAAAAAAAAGTAAATAATAGAATCACTCTTAAAGTTCTATTCAATATCACTTTTTTGTTTTTTGTTTTTTTTTTTTGCCACTTTTTAATATTCTAATAGTTAGTTTATTGATCAAACTATTACAACTACAATATATCTCCATATAGACTATGCCATAGACGCTCACTACAGGAAAAATACCGATTATCGGTGGTCATGACCGGCGGTTATAGGACCGCTGATAAGAAGGCTCATGTGAGTAAAATTTTTTGGAGTTTTAGAATAAAAATTTATTTTAATAAAACTAATTGTAATATCAATATATTTTATGGATTTATTCTCGCAAGATGATTTTGTACGAGCTCGAGAAAGTCAGCAGTCCACTGGCGAGGGATCATCTTCAGGATCGGCCCACATTTCTGAGTATCATACATGGTCAGATGTTGTTGGTGGAAGACAGAGGGGGAGGGTATATGGCATGGGTTCACAGGCCTATGCTATTGAGGGCAGTTCATTCACCTCTGTATTTTATGATCCAAGTAGAGCTGAAGAATCTGTAAGCGAGAGGGTTGCAGCGCTGACTAGAGAGATTAAAGAAATGAAAAGGGTTCAATCTAGAGAGATTGAAGAAATGAGAAATGTTCAAAATGAAATGCAAGCAGAGCTGTAATCCTACAGAGTTGAAAATCAAAGGAAGAAGGAGCAAGAGGAGCAGCCATCTCCAGACATTGAGGATACAGCTGAGGATTTGATCTTTCTTATATTTGATGAGTGTATTTAGAACTTGTGAACTTGTGATTGTAACCTTATTGAATTTAGAACTTGTGAACTTGTTTTATGTTTGATGAACTTATTTAGAACTTTTTAATGTTTGATTGTAAACTTGTTTGTTTAATTTGTGCTTATGTATATAGTTGTGATGAATATAGCGACGTGTTGCCCAAAACTTCTTATTATGTATTGCTATTTCTGCAGGTTTAGAATTTAGGGTTAACCTCCCTCAAACAGAGGGAATGCTGTCAATTTTTTTTTTCAGGTGCTACAGGTTTCCGGCGGCCAACTGGCGGTTTGGCCGCCGGAAACCTCGATACCGGATGGCTGATTGACGCCACCGTTAATTTCCTTACACCGCCGGTAATATACCGGTGGTTACCGACGGCCACCGGCGGTTATCCGGTGAAAGCCCGGTGGTGTAAACCGCTGGTAGTACCGTCGGCCATGATCACCTGGTAACAACCGGCAAATTTACCGGCGGTAAACCGACGCTAGCCTGTGGTTGATCGAACGCATGATGGCCGCTGTAACCGCCGGCATGCCGTCGGTGAAGTGACCACCGGTTAGCCGTCGGTAAAATAACCGGCGGCTCAACGGCCGGAACACCGCCGGTACAAAATTTGGTAATCACCGGCGGTGTTAGCCGCCGAAAAGCCTTCGGCTAATAAAACCGCCGGAAATAAACTGTCGTTAATTATTTCCTACGCCATTTTTACCGGCGGCTTGAGGACCGCCGGTAGTTTTGAAAACCACCGGTTTAATCATCTAGGCCGCCGGAAAAAACCGCCGATTTTTGGCGATTTTCCTGTAGTGGCTACAACATTACAAAGGAAGGAGGATGCATGAATTTTAAGGAGAGATTATTTGCTTGCTAAACAGTTGCTTTACTAGGTTCTGAGTTTTATTTACCACTAGCTTATGCCTCTTTGATAGTTTTGGCATATGCCTGCTACTAAACTTTTAATTTACTATAAAGGTGAAGTTAATAATTTTTTTTTTTTTTTTGCTAAAATAGCCATATTTAATCTATAATGTTCTCCCATGAGTGAGATGAGTAATTAATAATGAGAGCTTGCATTAATAGAAAGATTAGAATCGTAATTTAGATAAATCCTAATATAAATATTCAAAAAAAGGCTTAAATTAAAATTAACTTATCACGTGAATAAAATAATTCTAGCTTAGATGGTGGGGGGTTTGTAGCATTTTTTTTAGCAAAGAGTCAATACTCAAGAAATTTTCTCTCTTTATTTTTTTTTTTTATTTTTTTTTTTTTTGCTTCAATTTAAATTTAGCTAAATTGACTAGACTAAAAGGGATTCCTTTCTTATTCGTAGTTATAAATTTAAAGGCTTGACCACTTTCACTGGCCACAAAATAAGAGAGAGGACTCATTTGATTCACAATATTATCATAATCATGATTGCCCATAAAGTTCTTATTTGCTCACCCTACAATAATGTTATCACATATGGCTATAATAATATCTATATAAGAAGCCATTAATTCTTCTTTAGAAGTTGCTTCTTCTATTCCTATCCCTATTACCATTATAGTTCTCTTATGATATAAGCTAAACCTTATGCACAAGGTTGATTGTGATAAACAATGCGAATTTCTTATATAAATAATGTTTCATCAATTTTCACAAAAGATTAACAATCATCATGAATGCAAAAAAAAAATCAATCATATGATACATGGAACCATCTTAAAATTCTAATTTTACCCAAATCTTTTACTAATCAAAATCATCCAATATATGTTAAATACCATACATAAGCCATTTTTAAAATTGTAATTATCTTTATTTTAAACCCAAATTATCTTCTCATACAATTAGAGCTATATTTTAAGAAACATTTGATGCATCCAATTAATAATCAAACAATCTTGAAAGTTATTGAGATTGAAGCTATTGAGTTTACCCTATGGCAAGATCTACTAAGCCCTATGAGGCACTTATTTGAACCAACAAGCCTACTCTTTCATATTTTTTTTCTTATTCTAGGTCGAAGACGAAGAGACATCAATCAAGTAAAATGGAGTTGATTGGCAAGGTAAGGGGTACTTTTTTTCTTGCTTTCTTCGAGACGGTATGTAGGCACAGGCACAAGAGTTTGATTGTTGCGAGAGGGTGGACCTGAACTTGACTTCTTGCTTAGATGGATCCTTGAAGATCAGATAAATTTATCAAGCTCACATGTCAGTTTCTACTTGAACATGGGAGAGAAAATAATATGGGAGTTTTCAAAAGCACCTGGGTAGAGTTCTTCGTATGCTTTCCAACAAGGTGAAGCGTAAGGGCATCGATATGGTCTACCAATATACTCCACATGCAGTTCTTGCTTACATCGTTCTTGTGAGACTCAATAACATCTTCTCATTCACGGAGATCGGTCTGGAGTCATTTTGCTGCACTATTGGACCTGTACATATCATGGGGAAAGACAATCCTCACTAGTGTGTTATGGTGTATTACAATGGGAACATAAAGAAATGAAGGATCCCAAAGAAACAATCTCTTTTTGTTACTGGATCTCTGTTTGATTGATCAATGTGTGATATTATGAATTCTCATTTCTAACAAAATTAAAATGATCTCTGGATTGATCAAAAGAAGATCCTTTACATTGGTTAGAATCCATTACTTGAACGAAAATAGATCTTGCAAAATCATATTGAATATTTGACAATACATTTTGTCCCTTGCTAAAAAACTAATCCTTGTTTACCAACCACACATTGTCTAACCAAATCCAATTTTCTCTCGAGACGTTCCTCAAAAATTTTATTCGTGCTGATTCTTCCCCCAACTAACGAAGAGATCTTGGCGGAATTGTATAAGTCTTTTATAAGGTAAAAGAGAGTAAACAATTTCTTTCAATCATTTGGACATCAACTTGGGATGGGTTGATAACTTGATATACACAACTTTACCCTTATATTTTTGAGAGATTATTTGCATGCCTTGAACCAATTGACCTCCATATCACAATGAAATTAACTAAAAATGGCTATGGCTACAGATCATCACTATTTTTGCGTTAAGAAACTAGCTAACAAAAGAAGAGATGAGAGAAATTAAAAAGGGTAGAGAGACTAGGTGTGTTAAAAAAATACCGAACCCATCAATCTAACCTGAACCCAATTTGAAAATTCAGGTTCAAATTGACATGTATAATAAACATGACCGATTTGGGTTGAATTTTTTCCAACCCATTTATTAAAAAAGTCGGGTCCATGTTAACCCGCAAACCAATTTGTTGACTCGAAAATGATGCATTTCAATTTTTTTCCCCCTTAATTATTTACTTGTAGGTATAACCTTCTTATATTTTTATCAAATATGCAAAATTTTATAATTAATATAAAAATTTTTGAATTAAAAAATTACTTAAAAAACAATAAAAAAACCATCCTAAACAAATCCTTAACCAATCCAACAGGTTCAAAACTGCTATCATTTCCAGAAGGCTGCAGTTAAGACAAAATAGTTTGATCAATAAGATCCTTATAATGATCTGAAGAAGCACCAATAGCTTTATAAACAGGCATCTCAATAACAAACAAACAAACAAGAAGCTTTCCAGACAGTAACACTCTCATCAAAAATGAATTCCATATAAGAGCAAAACTTTAGTTAGATGCACTAAATTAAGACTTCCAATAAGCTTCTCAAAACTGAATTCAAAAAACACAAAATTGTTCAATAAGACATCCACACTATTTACTATATGGCCTGCAATTCTCATACAATTTGTTACAAAAGGAAATGCATGAGAGAGAGAGAGAGAGAAAGATAGATAGAGAGAGAGAGAGGGAGAGAGAGAGAGAGAGGGAGAGAGAGAGAGAGAGAGAGAGAGAGAGAGAGAGAGAGAGAGAGAGGAATGGACCAATCAACCTTTGGTTCTCATGATAGTAATGCTACCTTTGCCACCTTCAGTGCGGATTTTAGTTTTACCAACAACAGGCTTACCTGAGAAAGCTGAAGTAGGAAAAGAAAGGGAAGAGTTATCATCTTCCTTGTGTTTTGTTCTTGAAGGTAATGGGTTATGTAGCCTCTGATTTATGTCCTTGAGAGTCAAATCCCCTTCAACTCCACAAGGTTTGATTAGAGCAAAAGGGTAGGCAACAGAACTTGTTAACTTTGTGGATGGTCCTATAATGAATTTCCTGCCTGGAAGTGAAAAACATAGTAACTAAAACAAGTGAATCACAAAAAAATAATGAAATTAAGTCGTTTGGGATGGCTTTATTATAAAGCAGATGTCTGGTACAAAAGTTTTAATTTTCGTATTAAAAAGTTGCTTAAAGAAGCAGTGAGTAAGCTGTCCCAAATGAAATTTAAGAATACAAGATTACAAATACCATTCAAAATTTTGGGTAGAGGTGAAGGTTGGCTCTGTTGTGCCAAATCTGATTCGACGTCAGATGACAAGTTGTTGCGCTCTATCCTCACAGAAAAATTCAAATCATAGAAAACTCATACAAGCTACAGAATTCACTGAAATTGTACACGAAAAAAGATTGAGGTTTTATTTGGAACAGCTTTTTTATTGCTTCTTTAAGCAGTTTTTTAGTACAAAAATTGCATTAGAAAGCTGCTTCAAGAAGCAATAAAAAAACAGTCTCAAACGAAGCCTGAATCAACCGACCTGTAATATGGACTTCCTGATTAGATGCCTCATCACAGATCCTGCAGGACGACAAAAAGGATTCTCACCACATGGTATGTAATACAGTATTCAAAATTGTTAAAGTCTCATAAAAAGATCATACAGGTCTTCAATAGGAGCTACAGTTTCCTCTATCTTGCATTGCATCATGCTTGAATCAAGGCAGTCGTCAAGCCATCCCTCAGATGCCTGATCCCAAGCCTCTGAGTTGAAGGCACAGTTACCATCTAAAATGAAATATGTTGATTAAAGTATAACTAGCAACTTCTATTTTTCTTTTTTTCAACAAATTTAAAGGTTTGAAATCAGAAAACCAACCTGACAATCCTATATCCCACTGCGGGCTCCATTCGATATTTGCCGATGATGACGGTCCTCCGTCATCTATTTGTTCATCCTCCCTTTCCTGATGAATAAGATGAAATCGATCGAGTAAACAAACAACCATCATCACCCTAAAGCCCGAATGTTAAGAAATTGTTTAGTTGAACTATCTATGCCACCGACCTTAGATCTGAGAAAGACAGAAGTAGGTTGCACATTGCAAATAGAAGAATCATTAGCATCACAGGGGAAATGCAGCACACGCCGTCTCTTTTGCTGCGAAGAATCTCTGCATTCCTCGAATAGCTTGTTTATATTTTCTAAATTACATAATATTTTTGTTAATAAACAATTGGATTTTTTTCAATGCAATTACTCTTGCATAATTGAGAATATGTAGACACACCTTCAATATTGGCTGTCTGGTAACCAAAATCTGCACAATCTTTGATAGGTGTTTGTTCCTCTAGCATGTAGATCAAACTGTCCTCACTTTGGTTCACTTCATCCCACAAGCAACGAGAGATATCTTATCCAATAAAAAATATATTAAAAGAACCAATCATTTTTTTAGATGTAAAGCACAAATTCAGAAGAAAATACATACCATTCCTTGTCGTCTCATTTAGACAATAATCATCTTCTTGCCATTCCCACATATCACTGCTTCCCATTGAGCAAATGAAAATGTTACCAAAAAGAAACAAAAAAAAAACAAGGGAAATTTACATACATGAAGTTTTTAATCATCCAATTCACCCCCCTCTTGGCGCATCTATTAACTTCAATTGGTATCTAGCAATTTCATATACCACCCTATATTATTTTAATATCAAATATACCACTCATATTTTCTTCTTATAACACATATTTTTCATTTCTACCACTCATATTTGATATGAAAATAAACTATAGGTGGTATGTATGTAATATTAAAATTTTTGGTGTTAAATATGTAAATAGAGTAGTATAGGAAAGTATGTATGGAAATCTCTCAAAAAACAAATGGAAACGTAATAGAGTGAACAACATTACATTGCTTCTACTAAATGGAAGCTAAGATTTATTCAGCGCATGAATCTAAGCCCAGCCATGACTCGCCTCAAGTATAGAGTGAACCCTAGTTAGACAAGTTCAAGAATATGTATTTATTTTGACTTGTGTTATCCTTTATTTAAATTAGATAGAAATTATCATTTAGATAATCATGTTTTAAATCTGAATTTGATGATAAGATTTAATTTGAATTCAAATTACGAACCCTATTTCTATATGTAAGGATATATCAAACGAAGGGTCATCAAAAGGAACTATGAGTTTTAGGAATCCAAAAAGATCCCCTCAACTTCTCTTAAGATATTTATAAGTTTCTTCTCCAATAAAGAGGGGAAATCTCAGGCTACTCAAGTTCTATGATTAAATATCAGCCTCTCCTTCATGGTATTAGAATGAGATGGAGCGAGCTCATGAAACAACTTCACTATATCACTATAACTCAACCTCTGAAGGCCAGAATAGCAAAAAAGATAGCCTAATTAGGCTGGCCAAGGAAATGACAAATTTGAACGATGAGTCAATGTTGATTATGGTTCACAGTTACTAAATCCTAGAGCCAGAAACTGAAGTCATCAAATTTAAATCAGTAGGGTGAAAAATTGGCTAACAATTATAACCCATCTCAAATGAAAAAACTTCACCAACCTTGCATGCAAAGAGATCATGAAATTCAAGTCAACAGAATGAAACTTCGATTAACCCTAACACTCCATCAAATAAAAAAGACTCGAATGAAGAAACTCCACCAACCCCACAAGTGGAGCGGGTCAACAAATTTAAGCCAACAGAAACTCCGCCAACCCTGCAAGTGGAGTGGGTCATCAAATTTAAGCCATAAGAATATGACCTTTGATTGTTTCTCATTCCCAGTAAAGTAATAAATACAAGGAAATTACAACGTAATCACACCAACTCCGCTAGTGGAGGGATTGTTAAGTTGAACTTGTCTTTTCTCCTCCCCCCTTTTCTTCTCATTTCTCTGTGCTGGGTGATTTCCGTGCTCTGTCCCTTGGGTTTCCGAGTATGGCTGTTGGTTTCCTGTGCTGGGAAGAATTCCCGTGCCTTTGCCCCTTTGGTTTCGCGGTTGGCTCTTCGGTTCCGTGCTGGGCTGCTCAGTTCTGCAGTTCCTTGCTTGGTTCCGTGGATTTCTTTTCTGTGTTTTGCTGCAACGCTTGGGAATTGTATTGAGGCTGTTGGCCTTTCATTTCGCTTAATATTATTGGTTTATTGGGTGGTGCTTTGGCTGTTGTGTTCTCCTCTCTTGCCTATATATAGGAGATATTTGTGGATGTTTTAGAGACTTTATGATGTCATTTTTGGAAGCCATAACCTGCGGGTTTATTTGGAAAAGCTTGCGAGCTTTGTCCAACTTCTCTTCCTCTCCTCGTTGGGAAAGCTTGCGAGCTTGTCCTCCTCCTTCGTCTTGGCTTCTAACCTCTTTCTTCTCGCCGCAAGTGCCACCTCATCTGTATCTTTCGTCTCAAGTAAAGAAGAGCAACTTTAGGTGTATTTTTATGTTTATGTGTTGTTTGTAAGTCAAAGTTGTAAGCGTCCTGTAAGCGTCTCTTATAATACTAAAGTTTGTTTTTGTCATAAATTGTCTAAGTTGTCTAGTTTTAGTGAGTTCTTGTAATATTCTGTTTATCTTCTAATCTATAGGAAGAGTATTCTTTTGTTAGCAAAAATTTGGGGCCCTCTCCCAAATTTTTGCTTGCATCAGAGCTCATGAAACAACTTCACTATATCACTATAACTTAACCTCTGAAAGCCAGAATAGCAAAACAGATAGCCTAATTAGGCTGGCCAAGGAAATGACAAATTTGAACTATGAGTCAATGTTGATTGTGGTTCACACTTATCAAATCCTAGAGCCAGAAACTTACGTCATCAAATTTAAATCAGTTGGGTGAAAAATTGGCTAACAATTATAACCTATCTCAAATGAAAAAACTTCACCAACCTTGCATGCAAAGAGATCATGAAATTCAAGTCAACAGAATGAAACTTCGATTAACCCTAACACTCCATCAAATAAAAAAGACTCGAATGAAGAAACTCCAGCCCCACAAGTGGAGCGGGTCATCAAATTTAAGCCAATAGAAACTCCACCAACCCTGCAAGTGGAGTGGGTCATCAAATTTAAGCCATCAGAATATGACCCTTGATTGTTTCTCATTTCCAGTAAAGTAATAAATACAAGGAAATTACAACGTAATCACACCAACTCCGCCAGCAGAGGGGTTGTTAAGTTCAAGATAGCAAAATATAACTTTGATGGTGACATTATACATCAAGCTTCAAATCCATTACAATGATGCACTATCATCTATTGGAGACCAGTTAAAATGACTGGTCAATGACCCATGCCTACAATTAGTCAATATTTAAGGAATATTATGCATAGCATATTCTTCAAATCGACCTAATCAAGTTCGAGTGTGGTATCTAAGATGGGGGCATTTTTTATATATATTTTCCAGTTTGTATGTTTCTAATTTCGAGAATTCTAATGAAAGGAAGCATTTGGTAACCATTCATGTATTAAAATTTATAGAAATCCCTTACAATACAAGGAATTTTTATATTATTTGGGCGGACATCTTGATTCATATCGAGATCCACAAATAAATATTCAAAATGATTAATTTCCAATTTTCACCTGATTGTGTAAAAAAATGGAAAAAAGGAATATTCATATTCAAACAAAACATACACAAAATATTTCCTAAAAGGTAGAGGTTTATCATTTTGGTGCACCAAGATCCTGACAGAAAAGAAAGAAGATTTTCAAGTCTTTAAGCTTCAACCAACGAAGTTGAAAAAACAGGAATTCCCTATGGCTCAAGTTTAAGACTAGAGCGGGTCTAAAACAGGACTTGATATGCCCAAATCTGATCAAAATGCAGATAGATTTTCTGACTCACCAAGCCATATATATAAATAGTTGTAGTAAAAGGGCTCCCATTCCATAAATCTGAAGACAAGAGTTGTCAAATTTCAAGCTTATCTAACTTTAAAAGTTCAAGTGATCCAAATCTAGCACATTTTTTGAACTGGTTGATAGGTCAAGGACAAAATAAAGAGATGATTCTTACTTAAGAAAACATTGTTACATCCAAGTAATAATATTTTCAAATATGCAAGCTTCCCGATCCTGAAAGCCGAGAGAAGATTTTCTAGTTGGCAAGCTTCAACTGACTAAGTTTGAAAAGCACAAGTTCCTCATGACTCAATCTCAAAACCTTAGCAAGTCTAAAGGTCAAACTCAATATGTTTAAATATGGTCGAATCACTAAGAACTTTTCTTACTCACCAAGCCATACAAACAATCGTAGTAAGAGAGCTACCTCTTTGTATGTCTATTGAAAAAAGTTCTAAAGTTCCAAGCCTATTCAACTTGACAAGTTCAAGAGAGCCAAGTCGAGGCAAACATCAAAGTTTGTTGAAGACAAAATTAAAATACCATTTTCCTTCGACAAATTTGACAAAATATGAAGTGAAGACCAAATTAACCACTCTTCTTCAACAAGTTCAACAATGCACAAACAATAGAATCAAAGAAGTTCAACAACGCACAAACAATAGAATCGAAGAAGTTATCCCAAAGTTCATTCAATGCCTGAAATAAGGGAATCTTGTCATTAACAAGTCCACATAAGCATTAAGCATCAGATTAATGACTATCAGCCATTAAAATCTCTAAAGGTTATGTCACTAGCATGCATCATTCGTTAGCTCAACCAAAACGAAGATATATGACACTAAATGTATCCTCATTTTCCGGCAACTTCACAAAAATAGCTTAGGCCAGTTCCTTTGCGAAGTCCACCAAAACACAAAGTAGAGGGAAAAAGGAATCCCATATCCAATTTTCATGCTTACCAAAATAATTTGTCTTTAAGTTCATTATGCCTAAAGCATTGAACCTATGATAATCTCAACCAACTCAACAAGCTATTGTAGCCGAGCCAAAGAAATTCAAATATAATACTAGGCCATAGACAGACTTATCTCTATTCAAAGGCAATCATCAAACTTCAATAAGCTTAAAATATTCAACCTCAATCATTCAAATACCTCTATGATAAGTGTTTCTATTGATCATCATAATCAAAGAGACCTATATTAAAAAATTAAGCTTTCAATCATACATAAATATCTCATGCAACTTTCTCTGATTATGACCGTATTGACAGAAAATTCTAATAAGAGAGTGCCACTTTTATCAAAATGACCTCAAATCTCATAGCAAATCATTACAAACTCCTATCCTACTAAAAATATGAAAACTCAAGAAAATTACAAAAATTAAAAAAATATTCAAGCAATAAACAAGTGCCTCAAGCTTAAAGCAATTGTCATCCCTCCACACCAAATTGATAATGATGACAATTTTAGGTTTAACAAAGCTCATAGAGAGCCAATGTCATATTAAATGTATTCCTAGAATTAATCTAAAAAATTTCACACTTGTAAGGATGTGTCACATGCCCATTAATAGGGTGGTCTGCCACCAAATTCGCTATTATATTACGGTTATAACCAAAGCTTAATTGTTCCCCAATAGCTCAATCCGAGTTGTAAACCATAATATGCATTCAATAGGG